GGCAACAACGCAAGAAAAAGAAGATTCATGGCACGTAGGATGAATGGAACAAGCATGACTGTACGTGTGTGTGCCGGTTTGCGAGTTGGGTTTCTTTTCCTGTTTGTTTGTTCTGTACATTGGCGCAATACTGCACGCACATGAGGTTGGCCACATCAAATACGACTACAGTGTTCCCTCTCTCTCTCTCTCCCTCTCTTTTTCCTCCACCCCACAGAGATCCCCCCCACACACACACAGCACACCGGGCTGATGTGCCATGAAACAGGGGGATGCAGGCAGCGCATTCAGGAGGAGGGGCCGCTCCTTCCCCCCTCCTCCTGTTTATATTGGCACGGGCACCGCTATCATACTCTCCAGCTGGTTGCGCTTCTGCTGCCCCTCCTTCTTGATCGCCGCGATCTCGTCGCCGTGCTGCTTCTCTAGAATCAACATCTGCTCCTCCCCCTTAGCGGACAACTCATCGCACTTCTGTCGCAGCATCTTTTCCTCCTCCGCCAACTCTTCCACTCGCTGCCGCAATTTTTCAATGTCCTGCAGCACACGGCTGGTGTCCTTCTCTCCCTTCAGCGCCAGCCGAAAGGCATGTCCGACACGTGACTCAAACAATTCCCGATGGGCCGTCTGCGCAGCGGTGCGCTCTGAGTGAATGCTGAGCAGCAGCAGCCCGCGCTCCCAACACTCCGCCGTCACTTGACGAATCACCTCAAGAAAGCACTCCGCCAGTAGCAGGGAGCGTATTGGGCATACGCCGGTGCGCTTCGCCCCCGTCTCCTCCAGCCGCCGGCGGAGTTTCTCGTGCGTCTCGACGGTGTCGGTGCGGGACGCGGGGTACGGGCTGCCGTGCTGCACCCACAACACGCCGGCCTCGTCGCGCCACGCCCGCGGCGTGATGAAGGTGTCGATCACCACGCGCACGTTGGGGTCTACGGTGCGCGCCTCGTTTTGGAGGCCGAGACGCTGGCGGAGTCTGCACGACCGCTTTGCGTCTGACGGCGCAAACGGGACGTCGTAGCGAATGAGCGTCACGTTGGGGTCCACCGGGCCGTCGACGAAGATGTACTTGCGCTTTGTGGTTTCTGTCGGCATCGCCACCGGAGGTGTGAGCAACCGCTGCGGCATGGATGCCTCGCTGTGGTGGCTTGCAGCAGACTCCCTGTTCGACAGACTACACCGAAAAGAAAGGTGGAGTAGGAGACACACGCATTTGCCCCTTGGCATCACACGCAGACACAGACACATAAAGAAAGATATAATACCTTTCGTTTTAAAAAAAAACAGACACGAGTTGTGTTTGTGCGCATGGTGGAACAAGCGCCCAAGCTGCGCCACGTCTAGGCGTCACCAAACCAAGAAGAACCCCACATGCAAAGCCGTTGGTGGTTATACGTGCGGGTAGGCACATCCTCGAGACCAGCCACAGCCTCTATGTGTCGCAGAACCAGCGCGGAGGTCCCTCGCCTAATAGTACACCAGCTCCCGCATGCTGCGTGGCACATCGGTTGGGGGCTGCAGAGTGTTCAGGAAGTTGTAGTCGTCCACTGCAGTCGACAGAATCTCAGCTGTTGCATCAAAATACGTGAGTTCAAGAAACTTCTCGTAGTGGTGCACGTGGGAACGCACAGCGTAGAGCCGCATAAAGCGCTGGTATGACTTTTCCAGTTTCTGTGCAATAGAACAGTGGTTGGCGAGCATCAGAACAGAGTCCCGGTGTCCAAGAGGACTCACACCACAAAGCGCCATCTTGAAGCCATCCTCATTCCAGTACACGAGCTTTTGTCTCTCACGAATGCGGGGAACGTTGCGTGCCAGGTCGCCTACCGTAATCTGCGGACCGCGGGCGACGATAGCGGTGGCAAGACATGTACCTGCTTCCTTTGTGAGTGCCGACTCCGCGCCGCCCGAAACATCGACAAACTGGTGGTCCTTATCCAGGCACGCACCAAGCATAGCGTCGACGGAGCGCGGTCCAGCGACGGACGAGTGCCGCGCCACGTTGAGTGGCGCAATAGCGGCCGTAAGGAACAGCAGCCGCGGGTACGGCACAAGATTAGTCGTGATCTCGTTGATGTCCATGTTGAGCGTACCAGGGAACCGCATAGCACAGGTGAGATTGCTTAGAAGCTGCGCCACCAACGCGTTCATGGAGTCGTACGGCATCGTCGTCTTGGTGGGCTGCGCGACACTGTAGCCGTGCGCCTTTGGCACGACGCCGCGCACCAGCTCCCCCGCCGCGTTGCTCAGCGACTTGCGACCGAGCGCGCTGTCGGCCATGCGGGCGAGGGCGTCATTGTCCAGCGGCAGCACCGCGTCGGCGTGTTCGATGAGCTCGCGCAGCGCGAAGGCGGTGTTGTACGGCGCTGTCACCACGTCGTCCACGGCGCCCGGCATCACAACTGGGCAGATGCGGAAGACGTGCGGGAACTCGTCCTCCAGCAGCCCCAGCACGCGCGTGCCGAGACCGGAGCCGGTGCCGCCGCTCAGCGAGTGCATCACAAGGAAGGACTGGATGCTGTCGCAGCGCTCAACCTGTCCCCGCACCGACTCAGAGATGCTGTCGATGTACTTGTCGCCGTATTCCATGTGGCCCACCGCCCAGTTATTCCCCGCCCCGCTCACGTCCGAGACGAAGAATGTCGCGTCAAAGAGGTCCTGCAGCGGGCCACGCAGCATGGATCGCAGAACGCCCTCCTCCATGTCGATGGCAACGCAGCGCGCCTTGAGCGACGCCTTGCCGTCCCGGCCGGTGGACGACGCGTCAAAGAGCGCATCTCGGGCGTCGGGGTACTGCGGGTTCGCCTTGTGCTCCTCCAGCATGACGTCCCACCACTTGAGGCCAAGCTGGTTGCCGCACTGGCCGACCTGAATCGACACCACCTCGCGTGGCATCGTCTACGCAACCGCTCGTCGTCCCAACGATAAACTGCCTTCGCCCCTCCTTGAGAATTATGGTGGAAGACTGGGTGAAGCAAGAAGTAAAAAGTGATCGTACGCCCTTTTTTGTGAAATACCATGAGAAACAACAAGCGTCATGCCCCCCGCCCCCCTCCTTTCCCCCCTGAACGCAATGAAGAATTGGAATATCAAAAAGGAGCAACGATGAGACATTCACATATACACACCACTTGTATATGGCTGCATGAGTGCGCATTTGTATATATATATATATATATATATATATGTCTGTGTGTATCTCTCTCTCCCTCTATATGCATCTTGTTCCAGGGGTCTAACTGCTCTATGCAGTCACAGCAGGTCATCCTCCAGTGTCTTCAGCTGCTGCCTCACAATCTCTATGTACTCGCGAAGTCGGGCCTCGTTCTTGTGTATCTTTGCTTGCGTCACATCGAATCGCCTCAGGAAGGAAAGAAGATCATTTTGCGCGCTAGCATCCTTTTCGACGCCACGCCGTTGCTGAACCGCCGCAGTCACCTGTTCCCGCTTCAACTGCAACTGCTCCTCTTGCTGGAGCACAGCTGCGTGCTGAAGCTGCAGCACTTGGAGCTGATCCCGCAGCTCTCGCATGAGTGCCTCACGTGCTGTTGGCGGCCGCGGGTCAGCTGACTGCTGCATCCGCGGCGGTGATGATGTTGACATCTTCTTCGCACCCGCCTGTCGTAGTGGTGGTGGTGGTGGTGGTGACGTCTTGCTTTTGGCCGCCGCACCCGCGCCTGGCGGGTCGCTCTTCTCCGCGTGGCGTAGCCGCTTCGCCCGCTTTTTCGCCGAGGAGTAGCTGACGGAGGAGCACGGTGAAGTTGCACCGTTCAGTGGAGAAATGGAGCCTCGAAGCGGAAGCACGGGATTCTTCGCTGCTACTGCAGCAAAGCGATCATCACTCTTGTTGTCGTCATCAGAAGAGCTGTAGTCGGACAAATCTGAGTCGGAGGAATTCCCCGCCGCACGCGTCCCGCTGCAGTGTTCTCTTCTCGTGGAGCTGATGGACCTCAGCAGACTGCGTGCGCCCGCAAGGATGCGGTTCACGTCTTTCGTTGATAGCTGCGCATTTCCTGTCCCATCAGTGCAACTGCTGTTGTTGCAGAAGCTGGGATTGACGGATGAAACACACTCTGGCTGCAGCGATCGGTATTCGGGCGACAAGCGTCTATCAATTCGAACTGCAGCTGGCGACGGCGTTGCTGCCGCTTCTCCTGTCTTCGCCGCCGTCATAATCATCGTCACTGCGGTTGTGTCCGTTGCTGCAGCGCCACTCCGTTGAACGCGCTCCTCTGTCAGCGGCGACACTTCCACAACTGCATCCTCGTCATACGCAACAGTTTGTGAATTGGTCAGTGGTCTCGGTTCGTCCTCGAACCGCTTGCCGAGTTTGGCAAGCAGTTGTTTTCGCTTCTGCTGCAAGGATACAGAAGACGGATAATCCACCGCTTTATCGTGTGCAGATGGTGGCCGTGTTCGGCTGCGGCTGCGCATCGGCGATGAGGCGCCCTCCTCGTCATGTTGTGGGGAACTTCCACATCCAGCAGCCCCAGCACTGGCACTAGCGCTGCTGTCGTTGGTGTTGCTATTTCTGCTGTTGTGGAAGCCCGAGGATGTGCATAAGAGGGCTGCGTCGCGATTCTGCGCGGGCGGTGATGCCGCACTTCGCAGCATAAGTGTACCCTCCACCGTCAAGAGCCGCTTCTTCAAAGCGAAGACAGAGTCCTCTAGCTGCTCGCAGCGCGCCCTCGCAGCCTTTTCCTTGTCCCTCCACACCTTATTGTCGTCCTTCAGCTCCCGCGCAGCATGCTTCCACCGCTGCTTTTCATCCTTGAGCTCACTCAGGGCGGCAAGCAGTCGTTTGTTTTCCTCAACGTGGGCAGCCAGTTTCTTCTTCAGCTGCTCGACCTCCTTCAGTGCGTCACGTCGCCCTGTGTGGGGCCCATCACGGTTGTGCTGCTCTCCCTCCCACGTGGACGCGGAGTCACCGCGTGACGGTGGCACATCGTCGCTCAACTCCCGCTGGCACGAAGAGCGACGATCACAGAAGCCGCAGTTTTTGTTGTTGCTGCTGCTGCTACTTGTGCTACTGTTGCTTCGACTGCTCTTCTCCGCCCTCTCAATGAGCAGTGGCACCGCTCCGAGGATGCGCTCCTGCATACTCAGAATAAGGCTGTCTTTTGTCTCAAGCATCTTACACAGCCGCGCATTCTGGGCGAGGAGATCCACATCACGCTCCCCCCGTCTATTTCTCCGCTGCGTTTGGTCGTCGGAGTGAAGGTCCACCTCTTCGATTGACGGCGAGTTTGAAGCGGCGTCCGCCTCCTTTTCACTAATCTGCCGCCGCCTTTGAGGCTGGTTGTTCACCTTTGTGGATGGCAGAAACCCTACCGATTGTTCTTCCAGGCACCTTGCGAGCGGCGGGGGTGGGGAGGCGTCAAGGGCAGCGCCCGTCTCCCCACCGCTGTTCTCACACCACGACGGTGACCGCGGAATATCGCTCTCCGGGACAGCGACACGCTCGCGCAATGGCCGCGGCTCAACAGGCGGCTGCACCTCCGCCTTCCTGGAGCTGCTGCGGCTGCTGCTGCTGCTATCACCAGGCGCGGCAGCACCTGTTGTTGTCCTCGTCCTCTCACACACATGTATCGTGGGCGACGGTGAATCATCGACGACGGGTATCTCCACACCCGACTCACTATCGCGGTGACACTCCTGCACAAGACCTGCCGGCAACAGGTGCGCTGTCACCGACGCGTTGCAGTCTGTTATTGTCATTTTTGCTGCAGTTCGCAGTGACTCCTCGCGTGGGGCCGAGCACGAGGGACGCAGGGTGCTCATTGGCGACACGGACACGGACACACGTGAAGATGTGGCATCTTCCCGCCCAAACGAAGAAGATCGGCCCCGATCTGCGAAGTTGTATGTAGCACCATCAGAACTAATAGTATTTGTAGTAGTAGTAGTAGTAGTAGTAGTGGGAACTGGGGCTGCAGGATCGTAGATATCCCGCAGTGCCATTGCCAGGCACACTACAATGTGTTGCTTACTCGCCATCACATCCTCCAGCTGCTGCAGAAAATGCAGCACTTCTGCATGAGTGTTGCGCTCGCGTGGCGTGTGCACCTCGTCACTCTCCTCAACAGACAGAGGAGAAGGGTAGTAGTAAAGAGCGGTACCACCATCCGGCTGCAAAAAAAGACGCGACAACTGTGCTCCCAATGACTGCATGGCCTCCTCCTGCAACTGTGCGAGGCCCATGAACTGTTCCTGCAGAGACAAGACTCGACTGCATGATTCCCGCAGCGGCCCCCCCGTGTCGCCTGTGCTTCTATTTGACTCCTTTCGGAAGAAGGTGTGGAACGGCAGCATCACACTTTCAATCGCTTCTGACAGCTTTGGGCGGAGACCCGCGTGCTTCACCTCCAGAATCCGCAGCCGTATCGTCTCATGATCCACCTCGTCGAACGCCACCACAGCACGTGGCAGTGGGCCGTCACGTGTGGACACCGATGCGGCTGTGGGGAAGAGGCGCTCACGAAGAGACGCGAGCATCGTCACACTTTCCGATTGGCTTTTCTGCACCTTCACCAGCAGGTCCAAGCATCCGCGCAGCGACAATGAGCCTACGGAGCACACAACATCAGAAGCAGAAGGCGAAGGAGGGGCAGCAACAGCTGTTAGCACCGACTCTGGGTACGATGTGCGTTTGGTTGCAGCATCACTGTTCACGTGGCGTTCAAACAGCATGAACGGGACATGCGGTGCTGCAGCGTCTATTTCCGGCAACGGTTGCGCAGAGTGCGCCAAATCAAGCATGTGTTATCCCCTTCAAACTGTGAAGAGAGTTCAATCCTGCAGCAAGCGTCCACCACCACCTCCTCCTCCT